GGAGGCAACCCAAGGTAAGTTTTCTTTTCTTTATTCTTCTTTTTTGTTGTGTCAAACCCGTGCATGTTTAGATTAGGAGTTGAACATTAGGGACAATGTTCCATCCTGAGTGTGGGGTGGCGAGTCTTAGTTTTTGTTTGTTCCTTATGTCATGTGGTCGGTAAAAAAAAAATCCAAAAAAAAAATGCCACTAGGTTGAGCACAGCCAAAATGCATGCAGTTTGCTTGTGTAAAAAGCAGGCTGCCTGTGCGAAGCTAATGGCTAAAAAACACCTAAAAATCAGAAAAATTAAAAACAAAACCTTGTACTCTTGTGGTAACATGATGTAAATGACTGTGATGCGTGTGAAATGAGTTTGTGCTTGAATGAAATCATCGAAATCACCCCACTAGTGTTGAATTGCATAGTTCTTCACAATGAGCTTGAATGTTTTGACTGACTTGATATGCTTTGAATGAACAAACTCTTTTAGCAACATTCTCTTTTGTGAGGATAGTGTAATGACTTTTGGTGAAGTAGTTAGGCGGAGAACATTGACCATTCGACATGTTTGGATACCGTGCTTACTTGCATCAATTGTGAGCTTTTAATTTTGCAACGAGTCTCTCTGTTTTGAATGTTTTATGATGGGGTGAATTGTATCTTCATAAAAGAAAACACTACCTGACAAGTAAAATATAAGAAAGTTGCCATAACAATTAAAGTGTGGGTAAAATGCCAAAATCGTGTGAGGCAATCACTCATTGCACATGGGGATGAGGAAGGATTCAATTGAGAATCGGTTCGCGACCGTACGATGTTGCTTATCAAGTATGATCCCCAGTTGAGTGAAGTGCCATTTGAGGATGCAATGACCCTCCACAAGGACCGAGGACAAGGAGTTGAAAGAAGCCCTTATGCGAGTGCTAAGAAGCAGAAATTGCTCTTGCTCGGTCACCGGTAGTAAGAAACAAATCCCACTTGTACTAAATACGACCACTCGGCAAGTAAAATCAGAAAGAGAGAAAGACTCTCCTTGTCAGAAAAGGTAGTGATGTGCTTAAAGTTAAAATCATTTTTGCGAAAGGCTTCCCCCATTTGTTTTTGAGACTCATGCTTAATTAATTGCTTATGGTTGGTGTGAGTAAGCCAGATTGTCCTCACGAGATATGCACCTCATTGATGTGTTCAGACTCTCCTAATAACTGTTACACCAGAAGTTGTTAATCACCCACTACCGACAATCGGAATTGAGTGTTGCTAATTGAGTTTTTGATGGATTTGAGTCAGTCAATGGTAATGGTTGCAAAGGCCTTGAGTGTGGGGTGAAAGGTATGATCATTAAAGCACAACTTATCCTTTGAGAAAGAAACTACTGATTACAACAAGAGTACAAGGAAATTTTTTGTTTTATTTTGAGTGTTTGATTGGTGAGTCTGTGATGTGTCATTGTTGTGGATGGTTTTGTGTATTTTTCTTTTGAGTCGTTGCTTAGGGACAAGCAACAATTGAGTGTGGGGTTGTGATAATTGGCTTTAATATATCGGATTCTTGAACTCTATGTGACTATCCTATGATCTGTTTAAGCCGATTGGTGCTATTTTAGGGCTCGCTAACCCGAGAATGGTTGAAGAACCATTACTGCCTAGTGCCATGAGTTTGATATTTTACAGGTGGAGAAAGCACGAAAAAGAAGCGAGTGCACAAGCAATTAATTGGGCCCAAATCGCTTTGTCTCGGGGAGGACTGAGGAGACGCAATTGGGCCAGGAGGAATTATTGGGCGGAAGGTCCAATTGAATTGGAACAGGAGGAAATTGGTGGCCCAAAATGCTGGGGGAATAATTGGACACACAATTTTGACGGAAGGAAATTCTGGGGAGAAGGGACTTTGGATTGGACACCATTATTTGGATGGGGGGAGCTTGTAAAAAGAAAGAAAAAAAAAATAAAAAAGTCGGGTGGAGAATTTCTTTGGAGAAAAGAAATTGCGGGGGGACGGAACAAAAATCTTCTTTGGGAATTTGCTGGGCGGCGGAATTATTGTGGAGAAGACGAATTCCTTTGGGCGAAGAAAAAGAAAGGCAGCGGAAAAATCTCATCGCGAGCTGCCAGGGGATAAGGAGTCGACGAGCTATCGGGTGGAAATTTTCTGAGTATTTTCGTTCCCACTCCTTTCATTAGCTTTATGATGAACAACCAGAACATGATTGTGTGTTTTATTTTCGTCATGAACTAAACCCCGATTTCTGGGGGAAACACCATAGGATGTAGCTATTTCTATATTTGATGGATTGATTCGTATTTCTTTTCTTCCAATCTCTATTGCATGGAATTGCTTAATGCTTTGTGTTGACTGGCCACCAATACATTGATTTGTAGTTAATTAGGTTATTAGCGACAGTGAAACCCTAATAACTGAACATATTTTATGTGACATAGTAACTTATCGAAGCGACAGTGGATTAAATAAGGTACTATGCGGTCTTGATTGGGATATCGTTCTTTAGGCTAAATAGTTAATTCATTGAGCTACGACAGTAGGATTTGAATTGATTGTTTAGTACGTAGTAATTCCCGACATGGATTGCTAGCACATTCGTGATATCCTGGCTGTAGAGAGTTGGATTAAATTGATTGGAATATGTGAATTAATCTAGATAGGATAGGTAGTGAATCCCAGTGTTTCTCCCAGAGCTTTCTCCATTGAATTTCTCCCGACCAATTTACTTTGCTTAATTAGTTAATTTTTCTTTTAGATAATTAGTCTCATTAAACTATTTTCACCTATAGTTTGCTCTATAAAATTGAGAGATCTTAAGGTTGTACCAGTCCCTGAGAGACGATACCCGGACTTTCCGGTTTACTACAAGATAGGATTAAGGCATATACGCTTTTGCCCTATCAGGTAGTGATCAACTACCGCGGAACTTATCACCGTCCGGTAGAGATCTGTCTAGCTAGTGGCTAGCTAAGCGAGGTTAACTTATTCTTACTTATGACTTTCTCTTACTCTTATCACCATAACTAAGCGGTGAATTATATAAAGCACTCCTTCTTAACGTTGTAAAACATAGACTTAAATTATGAAACGTAGATATTGAAATGCTCAAAACAATAACTCAAGTCGAAGCATGCATAATCAACGCAATCATAAATCAAGCAGTACACATATACTTCACATAAAGCAAGTATATGGAAAAAACTTAAAAATACGTAAGGCGTAGAATTTACCCCCTTTACACTCACCTTGCTACTTAAAAATCGATTGGCTTGAATATACTACCGTTCATGAATCGGATTCCATCCTCGCTTCTCGTATACCATCCTCGCCAATCTAGACAGTCGACTTGGTTAGTTAATAATCACCCAACATGGACATGAATCCAACTCCATCATATCCCTACCTACTAACCCAACCACCATTAACTTTTCCCATGTATTTGTCCACGTACCATTCCACCAATTTCACCCCAATCATATACTTAACATGGACGAACAACAAACCTTTAGATGGCTCATTCCAATTCCAATCTAATTCAACTTAAGCATGCTCACGTCTACTAACTAACTACTTTCGATACAGAATTTCTAGAATCAGCTAATGGCTTTCTCTAATTCCCTGGGCACCATAACATGAGTATCACCATTAAATTGATAGAGTGAAGCCACGAGTACCTTTATAGTTGGTTTTGAGAAATGAACACCTCATCCAGACTACGGAAACCTGGTCCCTTCTTTCGTTTCCGGATTCAGCTTGTTGGCGGCGGTGCAATCTTGAGGGGGTTTGTGTTTATCCGCTGGTACAAGGGAAGGGAGGGGTGCTTCTTGGCGGCAGTGATGTTTTGCTGGGATTGGAGGCGGTGCTAGGGCACTCGCGGGACGGCGTTACGCGAAGGAGATTGGTGTTGGGGTTTCATTTTACTTTGCTCCCAACAATCAAAACTCCTTCCCATTCTGCATCGCAACCGGTTGCTAGCCTTTTAACTCATAACCACGTCTCCTCAAAACCCCACCATCATTCCTATCATTATAATACTTAATAACCATAACAATAATGGTAATTTATCATCCTCCTAAACGTAAACCCCAATAATGGTAGGACAAAACAATCCATGGGTTCTCTTTTGGCCGCAAGCACATCACACCGGTTCCTTCAAGATTTAGTTTAGGTTAATTGGTATAAGTATGTACCACGGTTGTAATCTCTTGTACGTAATCTTCAATCCAATCGTTCATGTATTTTAGTCGAACCTGAACCCAAAGGTCGGGGTGTTACAGATCTTCTCATGGCAAAGCTTTACAAAGGCGAAACAATTGGTCCTCCAAGTGCAATAGATTGGGAGAGTGCTAGGAATTTGTGCACTCACTTGAGGTAATTCCATGACCTTACATTACTTGTATCTGGTACTAAGTATGTGATCTCCCATATGTTTTTGAGGGAGCTATGCAATATTTTTCAACAACTTAAGGAGATGGAGGGAAGTGAGGATGAACAAGTGAGAAATATGGCTTTTAGAATGCATGCAAAAGTAGAGAAATATTGGTATGAGATTGAGGATGAGAATTCAAGGATGAATAGGTTGTTCTATGTGGCTGTGGTGTTTGATCCTAAACACAAGATGAAACATCCTATGTATGCGTTGAAGAAGTTGTATGGAGAGAAAAGAGCTGAAGAGTTGGGTAAAGAGATTCTTGGAGAGCTCAATGACTTGTTTAGTCACTATAAAAATATGAAAGCACCTGCTCAAACTCGAGGTCGAGGGACACGATCTCTAGGTGATTCCTCAAGATGTGATGATATAGACATGGTTAGTTCTGATGAGATGGATGTGGTGCCGGTTGTACATGTGGACACTTGTACTTTTGATGATGATTATGAAGATTGTGATGATGGAGATCAAGCACCGGAGTTGGACAGATATCTTGTTGAGCTTCGTGAGGGAGATGCCAAAAATTTGAAGTATGATGTCTTGAAGTGGTAGAAGAACAACGCCTATCGTTATCCCATTTTGGCCAAGATGGCCAAAGACTTGTTTGTTGTTTCCATATCCACGGTTGCTTCTGAGAGTGCTTTCAGCACCGGAGGTCGGGTGTTAGATTCTTTTAGGAGTTCTTTGACTCCTCAAACTGTTGAAGCTCTCATTTGCAGTGAGGATTGGTTACCAAGTTCGAGACTACCTCTTGAGGATGAGAATTTGGATGAGTTGGAAGATCTTGACAGTGGTATGTTTTGTTTTGGTTGTGTGGTGTATTATTGCTATTGAATACTATATTTTCTAACCTCTTATTCCATTTTTGTGTGTGTTTTAGCTTTTCAAACTAGTGTATTGGATGCCAATATAACTTCTGCTACAACTGGAGCTGGAAGTGCTGCTGCTAGAGCTGGAAGTGCTGCTGCCGGAGCTGGGAATGCTGATACAGGAGCTGGAAGTGCTACTGTTGCCGGAGTGCGAGCTTCTTCTTCGATTGCGCCTAGTGGTGGAGAAGATTCTAATGATGGAGAAAGGCAAACCGAGGATGGGAGTACTTCTGAGGACGAGGATAGTGAGGAGACTACGAGTGAATGAGTGATTGAGGAATTGAAGACATGGGAGTTGGGAAGTGGACTATCGTAGTATGGCTTGAACTTTAAGTTTATGAGTTTATGTGTTGAAACTAAATTTGGATGGTTTATGTGGGATTGAAACTTTCTGTGGGATGTTTAGAACTTAAGTTGTATGCTATATTTGGGATTGTTAGAACTTAATGTGGATGGTTTCTTTGGGATGTCTAGAACTTATATCTGTTTCAGACTTTTAGAGGTGCATTTTAATTGTTTTAGTGTTAATTTCTCAAGTGCATGTTGCTGGATTTTCCAGGTTAATTAGGTTTTTTCATGCGGTTTTGTTCCATTTTGTGGTTTTTTGCACCGTTTAACTCTTATCGCGGTGTGCGGTTTAAAGTGCAGTTGACCGCAACTAGCCGCTAACCGCGATGTGCAGTTAGTGGTTAACCGCAAACTGTTTACATTGCAGTAACGGTGGGTGGTTTTTCCCTTGTGCGATGGCGATTAACCACGCTTATTCGGTGCAGTTAACCGCAACCGCACCGTTTCCCACCCCTACTTTTTTGTTTGCCTCATGAAAGTAGGTCTGCAAATTGGTTCTCCTCCATCTCCTTCCAATTGTGATGTGTCAAAACCGACATTTTCCATCGTCGGGCGGTCGCAGATTAGTTCGGCTTGTCTATGGTGGCAACGGTGGGGGCGTTTAAGTGAGGACGCGTGGCACCAGGTGTAGGATGAAGTTTGCAGTAAACTAGGGATGACAATTTCGATCTGACCTGTTTTACCCGACTTGTTTGGCATGTTTTTGAGCAGGTACGACCTGCCTCGTAGGCGGGGCTAGGCATGCATGTGTACTCTCATCAACTCGACCTGCTCTAACCAGCCCCATTCTCGACCCGTTCCTAAATTACATGTAATCTTAGTCAAATTACTTAGAATTTTCCTTTTATTACATCATATTTTAGCTATAACAAAGTTGTGAATTAGTGAAAACATCAATTTCTCCAATAATTTAACTACATTTATCATAATATGGTTTGTTTTCTTGGTCTTATAATAACATTAACGAATATTTCTAATGTTTTCCATATAAATTGCATACTCATTGGGCTGACCTGTCCTTGACCAGCGACTCATGATAAATTACTCGACCTGAACCTGACCTGTGATGGGGCGGGTATGGGTATCATGATACCTGCCTCATTGCCATTCCTACAGTAGACGTGTCGCCAGCTTTTGAGATTTTCTCTTATCCTTATCTTAAGGATAGTAGCAGTGGTGGGAAGGGCCGCGAGAGGACGCGTGGTAGTAGATGTAGTCACTGTTGACAACTCTGTGTAGCATCAAGGCATTTGGCCTGGCAGTTTTTGGGTCAATTTGGCCTTTTTCTTGGGCTTGTTTGGCCTGTGGCCTTTTTCTTTGCTTGTTTTGCAGGTGTACAGGTTCTCACCGCTGGCACATTTTAGTTGGATGTGCCTATACATTTTTATAGCTTCAGTGGAAAGTCAACGTGTGGAGTACCCTAAAATTTGTATCCTTTGTAATTTAATTTATATCGTGTGTTTGCATTTGCAAGTTTGGTCCTTCACTTCCGCCCTGAAAAGAGTTGAGGATTTGAGGTACAGTCGACGTTTCTTTCTTATTTCTTTTTTGTGATTTGACCTGTAAAAGTCTTGTACTTATATTTCGTATCTTGTTACTTCTCACCACAATAGCGAAAAAAATAAAATAAAAATAGAATCACATTAAATGCAAATTTGATTTGATCATTGTGGATGGTCCAAGGAAGCTCTTCATAGTCATCCGGCAGTCCTAGTCAGCGCCCAAAATCTCAACACATGCAATAGCTGTTTGTCTATTTCAGGCCATCCCAGATCGGTAATCTCCTCACTCTTGCGACTTCTAAATCTGGGTGGGTTCGCAACCTTTGGGGCTCCTTCCTTCCATACTGATAATGGCGGCAGGAACCAGCAGGAAGATATCTGCTGCCTCGGCAAGGTCTCACACTAGAAGAGCTAAGCAGAGCTCCGGCCTTACCCTCCCTTCAGGTCGGCTTCCTTGTCCAAAATTGTCGCTGAGAAACGAATTTTGTATATGTTTGCCGGGGATCGTATAGCATTCATCGCAGTTTCCTCCTATTTAGATGTGTGATGATTAAGTCAAGAAATTTTGATTTCAACCTAGCGATGAGAGAGCAATTGGTAATTTTTGTTACTTGATCTGGCGTAAGTAAGTGACAAGGAACTTTCTGCTTTCAGTTGAAATCCAAAATTTGTTGGTGGGTCCGAGTTTTTTTAAGGAGCTTAGATCTTTAGGTTGGTAGGTTCTCAATTCCCTGTAAGAAGGGGAGAGGGTCGTTTCTAGGGCAGCTGAGGAGCATGGATGTTCGAGATTCCGGAATGTATTTCTTACGGTTTCCACTGTCTGGTGTTAATCTGAACAATCCCGTAAATGGGATAGTAGTAATTGGTTTGTAACATTGGGTCCAAACGCCACCATCATAAAGTAGGATTGACTGTGTTAGTTATTGCTTTACCTTGTTTGTTGAATTCACTCAACTGCACTCTGAATCAAATGTTCATATATTTTCAGGGATCTTTCCGGGAGTACTTTTGGTTGTGCTTGCTGGGCTAGTGGCTTGGGGTTACCAAGCAATCCAACCACCTCCACCCAAGATATGTGGTTCTTCTGATGGACCGCTAGTCACAGCATCAAGAATCAAGCTTCGAGATGGAAGGCATTTGGCTTACCGAGAACATGGTGTGTCAAAGGATGTTGCCAAGATTAAAGTCGTCTTTATCCATGGTTTCGATGTCTGTAGGCTTGATGATGTCATTGCCAATTACACTTCTCCGGTATGTGTTTTTGTTTGTTGTTGTGACTTGGGCTTCATCATCCTTTATCTATTGCCCTTGTTTGACATTTTTAATGATGCTGTGTGGTCAGGAATTTGTTGAGGAGTTGGGGATCTATTTTGTGTCATATGACAGACCTGGTTATGGAGAGAGTGATCCTCATCCATCGAGAACAGTGAAGAGCCAGGTGTCAGACATAGAAGAGCTTGCTGATCAATTGGGACTGGGGTCTAAATTCTACTTAATTGGTTACTCGCTTGGCGGCCAGCTGGGATGGGGCTGCCTGAAGTACATTCCTCACAGGTACAGTGAGGAGATGCCGATTCACCAGATACATGTTGTATTTTGTTCATGTTTCTTATTGCTCCTTGTTTTCGTTGTCAACAATCTTCAGGCTAGCAGGGGTGACACTGTTGACCCCAGCTAGTAACTACTGGTGGCCTGGCTTTCCTTCCAACTTATCTACTGAAGCCTTGTACAAACACCCACCTTGTGACTACTGGTCTCTTCGTGTGGCTCATTATGCTCCCTGGTTAACTCATTGGTGGAATACCCAAAACTGGTTTCCAATTCTTGGCGCAATAAGTAAAAGCCCTCATATTCTTTCTCGTGAAGACAAAGAAGTTGCAGCTAAGCTCATAGCTAAAGGAGCTAATAATATGGTAATTTTCCTCTGCCTGAATCGTTCCCCTGCAGCTTTTTTCTTTTCTTTCTATCTATAACGTGGTTAACAACAATGTGCAACTTGAACGACTTGCTGTATTACGTGTTTTCTAGGAAGAATCCATTAATGTTTTCCCATATTTTTTTTCATTTAATGTGTTTTCTAGGAACATGTACGACAGCAAGGAGAATATGAGTCTCTCCATCGTGACTTGAACGTAGGATTTGGCACTTGGGAGTTTGATCCCGTGGAGATGGAGAACCCTTTCACTAACAATGAAGTCTCTGTACATCTGTGGCAAGGAGATGAAGACATTCTGGTGCCTGCTATATTGCAGCGCTACATTGCAGAGCGCCATTCTTCTTGGATTCAATACCATGAGCTTGCTGGTTCTGGACACTTCTTCCCTTATCTTGATGGGATGGCTGACACCATTGTGAAGACGATGCTGAACGACAAGGAGTAAGCTTTGACAGGCCTGGGAGAGTTGTCGGTGGACCATGGTGTGTTGCCCCAGGCTGGAAGATTCAAAGCATTTGGCAATGTTGTTTTAGTTGCAGCTTTCGGAGCTATAGATTGTGTTGTATTTCTATTGTTTAGAGTTGAGATTTTTTTGTAATGATGTTTAGACACACTGCACTTAAAACTGCTGTTTTGAGCATGGATTCTGGAGCAGGACACTGCACTTCATAAGCTTAATTGGTGATCGAGTAATTGGTGATCGGGTAAGATAACCAACAGGTATGCAAAAAAATGGTATAATAAACCAAGAATCTATGATTCTGATTAGGATTGGCGCTAGGTCTGTGATAACCCGAAATTTGCACATGTTTTGTCCACTATTCTTGCACCGTTTGAGGGTCGATTCTCGTGTTTTAAGTTGATTTCACGCTAGGGTGTGCTTTTATGTCATATTTTAGGACTTGGAATGAAATTGGAGGTTTGGAAGCGAGTTTCAGGTAAAAAACGGAGAGTTGGCAGAAAGTAGAGTTGGAAGGGCAAAATACCCGGTCAGGTAACCCAAATACCTGCCAGGGTATTTAACCCAGAGGTCGGGTATTCCCCCTACGATGAGAAGCTGAAACGCGTCGTTTAGTTTAAATACCTGGTATGATCCCCTAATACTCGATCGGGTATTCAGACCGAGTACTTTGTCTAGATGTTCTTGCTAAAACAAACCGTCGATTTGTCTAGATTTACTTTATGACTAATAAAAAATCTAAACACTTCCCTCCATGAAAGCTCGCTCAATATATCTTATTAATAACGTATCAATAGAAATGTGTTTAGACACCCTTATAAAAACAAAAACAATCAAAAGCGAACTACGTGAATTTTGATCCCGACTACTAGAGTACGTAGGCAACCAATATGTTTGAGTCCAACTAATAAAAAAATCTTTCTTTTACTCTGGAGAACTACGTCAATAGACATATGTAATACGCCCTGGGAGGGTGTAAGATCAGAATTCAACGCAGCACAGGCCTCAACTCAATTGAATCAGACCTCTTCCTTGCTCCTGATGAAACAGAGTTCCGAAACCAGCCTAGGTAGCTAGCTTCGAGCACTAAAATAGATGAAATCTGAGGGTTTCTTCACACCTGAGAAGAAGCACTCGAGATATAGTGTTGTCTTCGAGTAACTGAGGGTGAAAACAGCTAATAGACTCAATGTTCCTAGGTTTGATCGCAACCAAATCCTAAGCTCAACGATCAACTCGCAAGTTGTTCAATTTTGGGTTTTTCTTATTCAATGCAATCTGAATGATACAAAACGAGTTTGAGGCCTTTTATAGGCTTACACAATTACAAACAAACTAGAATAATGATTGAAACTAACCTAACTAAGCAAGGAAACTGAATTACAATCATAATCCGAATAGACTTAGGAATCCTTGTGGGACTCGGATTACTGGCAGTGCGAGGTAGCTTCTTTGAAGCCCTCGAAAATAGTCTTCCTAGATGATTCGATCTCACCCAATCCCTTGACGTTGTAGAAGGGAACTTCCTCTGTCTCCTCCAACTTGAATTAGCTCGAATGCATCTCTCAAACTCAAGTTATAGGTCTTCAAAGGTAGCATCTTGAACTCAGTTCCTGCCTTAGCCAAATCTGGACAGTTTCCAGGTTCCTTCATAGCATTTTGTGAGACTTGATAAACATCCTTCCTGGCATCTCCTCGAGCTCCATGACATATCAATCGAATTATAAAGACTTGAAGTTCACATTGAGCCCTTAAACTTACATTTTCATTGAATTGTTTGGGAGATATGAGCTCCCAAAATAGGTACCTCAAACCTGACCCAACACTTAGCCAAATTCCTGTCTTCTTCTTCCAAACTCCACTTCCTTCTTCCTCAAGCAATTCCAACTTCACGATTGATCCAATTGGGATCATATCAGGCATATGTATGATCAAATTGTATATTAATAAATATTTTGACTTAATATATGCACAAGTCTGAAAAGACCAAATATATGCACATTTAAGCTACTAGAAACTATCAGATTTTAGATTAGCTAGCCATGATACACAGCTATTGCTTGAGAGGATAACCGTTGGCTGGCTATTCTGAAAAGCGAATCCAACCTCTCAGCTTCCTACAACATCTCTTGGAAGTGTCTCCCATTTTGTCTGAATACAGTGTTGATGACTTCTTTCAGATTCTTGCATCCGACAATTTTCATCCCCTCGAACCCAAAACTTGCCAGAGCCTTTTCGGCAGACTTGGGAACGATGCACATTTGATATCCCAGCTTTGCAACTGTGTTCACCCGCTTCTCGATCCTGGATACCTGTGGCTTTTCCAGCACCTGATTAGAACTTCAGTACTTGACCAAGCATGACATAGATATTAGAGAAGTGTTTGGATATACTAGAGGAAGCAGATAATGCTTCATCAATTACCCTCGAGACTTGTCACCACCTAAACACGGCCTCTGTTTGCAAGGTAGTCCATTTCAGGGAGCTCTTTATAGCTCCATAATGTGTTAGGATACTTAAGAAGACAGTTGCATGTTATTTGATGCTAGGTTAGGTACTTAAACTGGAGAAACAAAATCCATCTGAAGGTCGTCAATTTCACGGTTTATTCCATGGGAACAGTACACTTACCGTGCGCAGCTCACCACCAAGGCCGATTTCTCCCAGAAATGCAACATAATTGGGTACCGGACACTCCAAGAAACTACCAAAAAGAACATTAGTCATCATGTTCCTAAGTTGTCGGCAATCATGTGGATAAATAGATCCAAGGAGCGGTTAGGTGTTCATGTTCTTGCTCATTGCATAATTTTCAATGTTATGAGATGTATAACCATACCTACTGCAAATTGCAACTGCTACTGCAAGATCTCCAGCAGTCTCAGTAAGCTCCGCCCCACGAAGAACATTCAAGAATATGCTCTGGTACAACAAAAACCAAAACAGAGTTTAATTGTATCACTATTAAAAACTGCGGACCTTTCTTTTTAATCAGGGTGAAAAACATTGGTTCGATTTCTAGATACATGTTAAAGGATTTTAATAGCATCATTGTTTCATTAATGGTCTTTAACCAAGATGTTAGGTACTAAATAGATGACTTGTTTCCTTTAAATGTATACCAACTAAACCACACCATGCAAAAGGGGAAACTTAAGTTTCTATTCCCCCACCGGCATGCTCAATCAAGTTAGCAATTCCACTCGTACATGAAGAATTGTTGTTCAAGATTCATAAGGAAAGTGGAATAGGAACACATTTCTAAAGCAAATGACACAAGAACATAAAAATATAACGTACATTCTCTTGAAGCGCCAACCCGGCTTGCTTCATAAGCACCTGTTAGTTGAGATAATAGTGAGATATTATAAACATCGCCCTACACAAGCTCAATTCAGCAATTCCAGGAGTACATTTTTATTGATGTACGTTAGACGTTAGTCAGTAATTATGCAGCTCAACCAAGCGGAAGAAAGAATTGTTAGAATGATTTACAATATGAATACATGATCAGATGCAGATAAATGCAGCCTAATATTTTAATGCATAAGAGAATTTAGATTGAAAGGAATGTCAATGTGATACTTACTGCTATAATCATTTCAGCTCTGCTAGACTGAATCCCAGTAGCATGCCTCTTTGAAGCTGACGAACCAGCAACACATAATGCCTACACCAGAATCCTTAAATTTATCGAAATGCAATAAATATTATGTGTCATTTTTGGCAATCAAAGAAATTGCTAGATCGCTCTTGCAGGCTCTGAGGAAAGGGACGTAACTAAATCATGCTAATAGAAGCCAGAACAAACATATTGACAACTACACCAAAGAGAACTACCTGAATTTCAATAAGGAAACTTCGAGAGCCATCCATCACAACAGTCACAGCTAGTCCAGCCAAAACATCAGATTCCAAGTGCTGCTCACTTAAGAATATCTCACTTGGATTGGAAACAGCTTGCAAACCCGATTGAGACATTTCAAATACTCCCAGCTGAAAGCATGAATGGTGATCATTAACACCCAACAAAAAGGTTGGGAAAGATAGTCATGATTGAATACAGTATAACTTGTACATGATAGCTATCGGCCACCAGCAAAGGTAACTCGGTCTCATTATGTCAAGTCCCAAGTTAAAAATTATGACCGTGAAAGTCACCGAATGGGTCAGCCTTTTCCTTCAGTTTGTCCTATATTAAAAAACAAAAGCGTGGGAGGACGTTGCAGATGTCGGGGACGACACAACTTCTTCTAAAGCTAGAAGAACACTGGAAACACCCGGGACCAGAGCTCGTAGCAGCCCCGCGGAGTGGTAAGGGACGGGACTCTTATCCCCCGACTAAGGTACTTCCATTCAAAATCAAAATATGACAGAGTACTCACTAGCTAGTATCTTTAAGTAAAAGCAGGTGAGATATCAACAACACTGCACACCTCGTCAGTGGACCCAAAACGATTCTTCACTGGCCGGAGTAAACGATGGGACGAGGACTTCTCCCCCTGGTAGACAGTGAGGTATATTAATGATTAACAGCAGCATGTAGTCACTATTTGAACAGGACAGCAAGGAGCATGAAAGAGTACAGGCATCAGTTTGACAACCAGTTGCTAATGTTTGTGTAACAGTATAATAAGTAGCCACAAGAATATTCAACACATACTCTCTCCATCGACCAATCAACTATTATACCAGCTTCAAATAATATATCGTCTTGCCTCATCCCTTTTTCAACTACGAACAAGAGTAAAAGAGACATATATGATAGAGTAGAAGGTACCAACTTCCACATATAGAACAACATCAACAATGTGCTCTAGGACACGAGGCCCAGCAATTTCCCCAGACTTGGTCACATGTCCAATCTGCAATAAAAAGGCAGGAAAAGGGAACAACATGAATTACAAGAAATTCTTCGTCGGTGGAATCACATGAGAGGAAGTCGCATGCATTTACCAAGATGGAGCAAAAACAGTTTGGTATACAAATGCTGGAGTAAGATATTGGCTGACGCCAAATGCTCCATTTGAGAAAGAACATTTAAAGCCATTTAATGCAATACATTGCAGTGATCAATTATATTAATATCTTTTTTTGTGCTAAGCAGCGCTGCAAGTCAAACATGGATTTCCAAATTATAACAGTACTGCGTTTCTAGAGCTTCAGACTCTCCAATTATACCTCTTCAGGCTAAACGCAATCAGTTTTTATATTTCTGTTGACACCAAGATGTTTTATTTTGAAATATTATATGTGAGAAACGTACCTATATGACAAAAGATAAGATAAGGTCCACTAACTTTTAATTCAAGAGTAAAGCTGATCCGTAGAGCAGAAAAGAAAACAAAGGCAATTTTAACACATTAAACTCGCTTCTAGAATCAAGTTCAGATGCAATCTAACATTATAAGCATGGGACACTTAAGGACGAAGAAAACTCGCCAATAGAACTGGGATGTCAGTTTTCTTTGCAAACCGCAACAAGGCTGATGTGCATTCCTTGACCTGGAAAACAGAGATACAATTCTCATTTGTAGGCATATGGAATGTTTAGGAAGCACCTTGCCATAGCTAGAAATGGCAAAACCAGGAAGAAAAGAAATGTCCAATAAAAACTATGACTATCAAAAATGATGATCTAATCAGTTTAAACTATAAATGGAAGACATTCAGCCCATATTTGGAAACATAGAAAAGAGTAAGAGGATACAGCATTGCTCACTAAGTGAGATCATCATGAAGAAAATGAACCTGGTCCTAGTAATGTCCTTGTAACCACACTACAACACAACCATTATATATCTTCAATTTTCAAACAACAACTGTTAGCATTAGTTTGGATTCATAGAAACCACTGAAGGTAAGCAAATCCAACCATGAAGCTTCACTAAATAAAGGATAAAGAGCTTAATTTCACCGACAGTAATCTACAATACACATTTGCCAACCTGTGTTAATCCGCCCGGACTTCCAACAACTCCGTTAAGGTAAACTGTTTGAATCGAATCAATAATTAAAGCACGAGGAGATAGATTCTGAATTTTCCCCATTATGTCCTGGAACAAGCAAAAGAAGGAACTTTGAGATCATAATTTCAAGAGAATACCAAAAAAGAAACAAGAGCAAAGCTGCCTTACACTAAAACAAGATTGAAAATGTGTACCTCAATTTCAGAGCTTGAATACAAGTAAAGGTCCTCTGTTCCAATTCCCATGCGGTCAGCTCTGTTCCCAATTTGCTGAACACTCTGCAACAACCCAAAAAGAAAAAAGGGTAAATAAAACAGGCAAATCAGTTTTGGATCAGTAATTAGAAAAAAATGAGAGGAAACTTTGGAACCAAGATAATACAGTTGGAACTCTTTCATGGACAATAAAATTAAAATTATCTTCTAATAGAACGTAGATATGGCCTTCAGAAGATGAATTAGGGAACTCAGTCAAGAGTGCACAGCCTTCCACTCCACTGCGGCAAAGTAGACTAATTAATGAAACTAAAAGCGGTTTTCTGTGTAAATATTAACCTCCTCCCCAGAGACATAAATAACCGGAGCTTGTTTCCCATGCCCTTGTCCTTCAGTGATGATTGCAGCTAGCTTCCAGTTCAATGAAGTTGAAGTGAGATAAAACAATTAACAGAAAACACACATCTAATAAAGGAGGAAATTTACAATGCTATATAGCATTGGTGCTATAACTTTTTGTCTTTATGGTACAACTTGAAGTTGTACCTTTAACGTTAT